CCCAGAATCCAGAGCTTTCAGAGCCTCAGTGGAGCTGGGAGCGCCTTTCCTGGCAGAACCCCAACAAAGTTCTTGGCTAGGAGTTGGAAGTAAGGAGGGTAGAAATAAGAAGGTAGTGCTATAACATGGAAATTAATTAAAGCCTGTATGTAAACCATCCCCTTAACCAGCTGTTGCCGACTTACTCCCTATGACAATGGACAGGTTTTTTGAGATAAATTGAACAGAATGCCTGAGAAGAACTGGGACTGCTGGGTATGGCTTTGGGACCCCAGGGTTAAGCCCTCTTCCAATGGCTTTGAGGGGTCCCTGTGCTCGGGCTGGCTTCCCACTCTAATGCCAGGTGCCAGTGCCAGTCAGCAAGCCTCCCATATACACAGAGCTCCCAGCCAACCTTTCTGTTTTGGAGATTGTTTTATCTTGAAAACAGACCCACTGCTTAGAATACTGAAGTTGGAGACAGTGTTTAATCATTTGACATATAAGGAAAAGCAGAATGTGAATGACAAAGACCAAGAGAAACACAGCAGCGGATCCTCAAGGAAATAGAGGAGAACTTTTAAAACTTTGGTTAATGTCATCTTGGAGACTTCAGAAAGTTTTTGTATTCATAAAACCAGGACGTGATGCTGTGGAGAAAAAAGGAATGATCAAGAAAGAAGCAAGGATTCTTAGAAATTTAAACGTGATTGCTGGGGAGAAAAAGAGGAAGGCACCAGAAGATAATGGCCAGGAAATCTTCCAAAATGCAGAGGGAAATAATGATAAAAAATATGAGACAACATGCAGATAAATAGCTAATATTTACTGAGGCAATTTGTCAGGCATTATTCAAAATGCTTTGTGTTTTAATTTAGGTTAATCTTCACAACTTTATGAAGTAGGTGCTGTTACTCTCTTTTTAGAGAGGCAGGCGTTGATAATAACTTAAGTCACATGGCTAGCAAGTGACAAAACAAGCTCAAACCCAAGCAGTCTATTTCCTCTTGGCCTTATTGTATGGCACTGAAAACAGTTAGAAGCCCAGAAATGGTGCGTGATAGTAAACAGCTCTTCTGTTTTCTCAGCCTTGGTTTTCTTATTGAAATTTAGGGAATAGCACCTTCCTTCTATGGGACAGGATTAAATGAATTGGCATTTGTCATATGGCAGACACTCAACAAATGGTAGCTTTCTCTGTGGTTTATTCATTCCCCTCCCTTTGGCCAGGAGGGATTATGCCTTACTTAGTTTTTAATTCTCTGTATTCATCACAGAGTATGCTACATAATGTCAAGTGAACGTTATGAGGGTGATACAGTTGACTGAGGAGTCTCTAAAAGGAGTGTTCAGGGGAAAAAAGTATGTAAGAACAATGTGATTCTGAAAAACAGCACCCTTGCCTTTGAACCTGAGATACAGGGGAGTATACCTCCACTTGAGATAGTTGTAAAGGTAACTTATCAGAGAAGTGCCAGGATTTGGTTAAGGTAGGGAGTGAGGGGGATGTAACAGGCTAGCATTTCATTGTGTATGGTGATTATGGCCATAGGAATAAAATGAGGAAGTTGAAAGGTAGAGGGTAGGGACATGAAATAGAACTTAACTTTCCTCACTCACCTCAGTGTAATAAGAGTATTCTGAAAGAAGATAATGGGTTTTCTGGGTTTTTTTTGTTTGTTTTTGAGATGGAGTCGTCTCTCTCTGTCACCCAGGCTGGAGTGCAGTAGCTCGATCTTGGCTCACTGAAAGCTCCACCTCCCAGGTTCTCGCCATTCTCCTGCCTCAGCCTCCTGAGTAGCTGGGACTACAGGCGCCTGCCACCATACCCGTCTAATTTTTTTTTTTTTTTTCATTTTTAGTAGAGACAGGGTTTTACCCTGTTAGCCAGGATGGCCTCAATCTCCTGACCTAATGATCTACCCACCTCGGCCTCCCAAAGTGCTGGGATTACAGGCGTGAGCCACTGCGCCCAGCCGATAATGGGTTTTCTTAAACCCGTATTTTACAACTTGGGTCCTGGAAATACAAGTATAGTAAGTGTTCTGGGAGCTCATATCTAAGGCTACTTGGGTCTGAATCTTCCGGGTAAATAATCTTTAAAAAATTTTTTTTCTAAAGTGTTCTTATGTCTTTATCACTGAAATGAAATAATGGTTCTTGCCGGGCGTGATGGCTCACGCCTATCATCCCAGCACTTTGGGAGGCCACGGTGGTCCTGAGGTCAGGAGTTCGAGACCAGCCTAGCCAACATGGTGAAACCCTGTCTCTACTAAAAATACAAAATTTAGCCGGGCATGGTGATGCACTCCTGTAATCCCAGCTACTCGGGAGACTGAGGCAGGAGAATCTCTTGTACCCGGGAGGTGGAGGTTGCAGTGAGCAGAGATTGCATCAGTGTACTCTAACCTGGGCGACAAAATGAGACTCTCTCAAAAAAAAAAAAAAAAGGGCCAGGCACGGTGACTCACACCTATAATCCTACCACTTTAGGAGGCCAAGGCAGGTGGATCACCTGAGGTCAGGAGTTCGAGACCAGCCTGTCCAACATAGTGAAACCTCATCTCTACTGAAAATACAAAAAATTAGCCAGGTGTGTTGGCGGGCGCCTATAATTCCAGCTATTCGGGAGGCTGAGGTAGGAGAATCACTTGAACCTGGGAGACGGAAGTTGCAGTGAGCTGAGGGCACGCCATTGTACTCCAGCCTGGGCAACAAGAGCAAAACTCCATCTCAAAAAAAAAGAAAAAGAAATAATGGTTCTTCTTTTTTATTTTTTATTTATTTGTTTTTTTGAGAAGGAGTCTTGCTCTGTTGCCAGGCTGGAGTGCAGTGGTGCAATCTCGGCTCACTACAATCTCTGCCTCCCAGGTTCAAGTGATTCTCCTGCCTCAGTCTTCTGAGCAGCTGGGATTACAGGTGCGCGCCACCACATTCGGCTAATTTTTGTATTTTTAGTAGAGATGGCGTTTCACATGTTGGCCAGGATGATTTCGATCTCCTGACCTCGTGATCTGCCCACCTTGGCCTCCTAAAGTGCTGGGATTACAGGCGTGAGCCACTGCAGCTGGCCAAAACAATGGTTCTTAATGCCGTACTTCTCCAGTAGCCTCAGCTATCTTAAGTGTAGCTGAGAACTGGGCAGTAAGCACAAGGGTTTCTGAGGAGCCACAGAAAGAGACCTAAAGATGATATGCACAAGTTCAAGTATAGTTTAACAAGAACCACCCAGGTCTTCACTGAGAATCTTAGCTTTTTCTCATTTCTTTTTTTTTTGTTTTTAATTTTATTATTTATTTATTTTTGAGACGGAGTCTAGCTCTGTTGCCCATGCCAGCATGCAGTGGCACGATCTCGACTCACAGCAACCTGTGCCTCCCAGGTTCAAGCGATTCTCCTGCCTCAGCCTCCTGAGTAGCTGGGAATACAGGCCTAGCTAATTTTTGTATTTTTAGTAGAGACTGGGTTTCACCTTGATGACCAGGCTGGTCTCGAACTCCTGACCTCAGGTGATCCACCTGCCTCAGCCTCCCAAAAGTGTTGGGATTACAGACGTGAGCCACCGTGCTCGGTCTGGTTTTTTTTTTATTATTATTTTTTTATTTTATTTTAAGTTCCAGGGTACACGTGCAGGATGTGCAGGTTTGTTACATAGGTAAACGTGTGGCAATGTGGTTTGCTGCACCTATCAACCTATCAACCTGTCACCTGGGCATTAAGCCCAGCGTGCATTAGCTGTTTATCCTGATGCTCACCCTCCCCCATTTTTCTCAGTTCTATAAAACTGATTTATCTCTCAACCTACCAGTTAGAAGCAGTAAACTAGGAGGAAGGCAACATTGGGCTGCTAGGTAATATTTTTAGAGAAAAATTGGACCTAAATACTACAAAGTACATAGCAAGATGGAGTCATTTAATATATTACTAAGTTGCTTTATTCCTCCCAAGCCACAGTACTCTAATCTGTGGTCATTATGCTGATTCTGGGATAACGATGGAAGGTTAGAAGATGCGATGGAAGGTTAGAAGATGCGCAGAATAAGAAGGCACTGTCATCAAGAAATCAATGAATATTTTAACACTTAGAGATGCAATTTTAGCCACCTGCAGATTTACTTAAGTGAACATCTTTTGACGAGGGAAAGATAAGTGAACCACTGTTGTCCTAAGGAGCAGTGGGGTACTAGAAAGAACTCTGAGGATGGCTTGGAGACATAGATTTGTCTCATGATTAAGTAATAATATTAATAATCCTCAGGATTAAGTAAGAATAAAATGAGATGATGTATGTGCAAATGCCCTGTAGATTGCAAAGACTGATGCAGATTTATTTTTATTTTTATTTTCAATAGTTTTTTAGGAACAGGTGGTTTTTTATTACATGGATAAGCTCTTTAGTGGTGATTTCTGAAATTTTGGTGCACTTGTCACCTGAGCAGTATACACTGTACCCAGTATGTAGTCTTTTATCCGTCACTCCCCTCCCACCCTTCCCCCCGCGAGTCCCCAAAGTCCATTATATCATTCTTATGCCTCTCTGTTGTGATACTGATTTCAGATTATTTTTCAGTTTGCTCATTATGTTTTAAAATATTCTCCCAGCACTTCGGGAGGCTGAGGTGGGAGGATGGCTTGAGCCCAGGAGTTTAAGACCAGTCTGGGCAATATGGTGAAACCTGTCTCTACAAAAAATAAAAAATTAGCCAGGTGTGGTGGTGCAAACTTGTAGTCCCAGCTATTTGGGGAGCTGAGGTGGGAGGATGGCTTGAGCCAGAGAGGTTGAAGCTGCAGTGAGCCATGCACTGCAGCCTGGAATCGATCAAGACCCTGTCAATGGATGGATGGATGGATGGATGGATGGATGGATGGATGGATGGATGGGTGGGTGGATAGATGGATGGATAGATGAAAATATAAAATAATAAAAATATAAATATTCCTCAGAAATTTAACTTTGATGGATTGCTTATCTAAAACATTACTGATCATCTCTACAGATGTGCCAATTGCTTTCCAGATTTCTATATTCAGATGAAGTTCAAATTGGTCCAGAAACAGTTATGACCACTCTTTATACTGCCAAGAAATATGCAGTCCCAGCCTTGGAAGCACACTGTGTGGAATTTCTCACCAAACATCTTAGGGCAGATAATGCCTTTATGTTACTTACTCAGGTAAGTAAATGTAGCTAAGGTATGTATCATTGTAGTTTTAAAATTTTGAGTAAACTATATATGGGTGTTTAATATTTCCTGGAGAATTCTAGATTATAATTTTAAAGTATATATTATTATTTTTATAATACAAATTGGGGAAATATATCAGATCCGTAAGATTTTAGAATTGAAAAGTGTGTTAGAGGCCATGCACGGTGGTTCATGCCTATAATTCCAAGACTTTGGGAGGCTGAAGCAGGTAGATCACTTGAGGTCAGGAGTTCAAGACCAGCTTGGCCAGCATGACCCCATCTCTACTAAAAATACAAAAATTATCCTGGCATGGTGACACGGGCTTGTAATCCCAGCTATTCAAGAGGCTGAGGCAGAAGAATTGCTTGAATCAGGGTGGCGGGGTAGACATCCTGGGAGACAGAGCGAGACTCCATCTCCAAAAAAAGCATATTAGAGTTAATACGGTGCTGGATCATATAGGTGAAGAAGCTGAAGCCATATATATATATATATATAAAAGTGGGGTGTTGTGATTCAAGGTTAGATAGCTATTTAGGATTGGAGTTGAGATTGAGATCCAGTATTGTTTCTGCTTATGATTGAGAGTATGATAGCATGAAATTTTATGAATGTCTTCGTTCTCAAATTTTGCTGGATCTGGAATAAAGATGGAATATTTCAAGTCCTGAAAAGTTCTAAGATTAATGATCTTTGGACCTGTAATCTGGAAACTTGCTGATCCACTCCTGGAGGAGTTAAAGTTTTAGGTTTATATGAAATATTCTTTTTCTGACATTTTTAAGTTTTCACTAAGTATGGGATCCATATAGAAAACTACATAGATTGTGGCTGAGTATGGTGGCTCAAGCCTTTAATCCCAGCACTTTGGGAGGCCAAGGTGGGCGGATCACTTGAGGCCAGTAGTTCGAGACCACCCTGGCCAACAAGGCAAAACCCAGTCTCTACTAAAAACACAAAAATTAGCCGAGCATGGTGGCGCATGCCTGTAACCCCAGCTACTTGGGAGGCTGAGTTAGGAGAATCATTTGAGCGTGGCAGGTGGAGGTTGCAGTGAGTCGAGACTGCGCCATTGCAGTCCAGCTTGGGTGACAGAGGGAAACTCTGTCTCGAAAAAAGAAAATTACACGTATTCTGAGTGTATAGTCTAATGAATTTTTACAAACTGAACACAACTGTGGAACCTTTAACCAGTCCTTAACAAATAGTATTTAGCATTTGTTATATGTGTGTAAACTGAGCTTTATACTTTGTATATAAACAGTTTTTTTCTTTTTAGACAATGTTGTAATCCTATGTAAAAATTGTTTTTAAAATTCTAAGGTGATAAAATACCCCATTTGATATTAGTACTGGAAATAATCATTGATGGCCCCTAGCTCAACCCTCTCATTTTACAAACGGGAAAATTAAAACCTGGGGTAATTAACTGACTTTCCAAACCCTCATAGGCTGGGTAGGGCCATGCCCAGAGCTCTTATTTCCCAGTTCAGTGTTCATTCTATCATTTAGAAAATGTTTGGTACCAGCCGGGCACGGTGGCTCATGCCTGTAATCCCAGCACTTTCGGAGGCCGAGGCGGGGAGATCACGAGATCAAGAGATCAAGACCATCCTGGCCAACATAGTGAAACCCCGTGTCTACTAAAAATATAAAAATTAGCTGGGCGTGATGGCAAGTGCCTGTAGTCCCAGCTACTCGGGAGGCTGAGGCAGGAGAATTGCTTGAACCTGGGAGGCAGAGTTTGCAGTGAGCTGAGATCACACCACTGCACTCCAGCCTGGCGACAGAGTAAAACTCCGTCTCAAAAAAAAAAAAAAAAGAAAATGTTTGGTACCTTTTAAAAACATCTTCTGTCATTAAGTATTTGTAGTTACAGAAGAAAGAACATTATGATGTCATCTCTTCTTGGACGTAATTATAGAACTCCATGTATGCCAGACACCAAATTATCCCCTTTACCTATATTTTAGCACTTACTCCTCACTATGATGCTGTGATGATGTAGTTTAATATTATTATCGCTTTTTTTCTTTTTTCTTTCATTTTTGAGGCAGAGTCTCACTCTGTTGCCCAGCCTGGAGTGCAGTGGTGCAGTTTGGCTCACTGCAGCCTCCACCTCCCAGGTTCAAGCAATTCTCCTGCCTTGGTCACCCGAGTAGCTGGGATTACGGGGGCACACCACTACGCCCGGCTAATTTTTTATTTTTAGTAGGGACAGGGTTTTACCATGTTGGCCAAGCTGGTCTCGAACTCCTGACCTCAAGTCATCCACGCACCTTGGCCTCCCAAAGTGGTGGGATTACAGGCATGAGCCATCATGCCTCGCCTGTTATCTCCTTATCCCCTTTTTAAAGATCAAAAATGGAAGCTTACAGAAGTTAACATCTTATTACTAGACAGCAGTGGTAAAACTAAGGTCTCACCTAAAATCAACAGTTGTTCAGGTTTAGTGATACTGATAATAGCAGAATGTACTGGGAGATAATTGTATGCCAGGCTCCTTTCTCAGCACTTTGTGTACATTAATTCATTTAATCCTCACAATAACTTCATGAGGTGTAGGTTTTCAAAGTAGATTTTCTTATTATCACCATTTTTAAGTAAGGAAATTGAGGCACAGAGAGGTGAAGTAACTTGACCAAAGTCATATAACTAATAAGTGATATCTCTATTTTTTCCTCTTTTGAATCTGTGATTAAAATCTAGTAAATAAGTTGATACTCATGAGATTCTTTATTGTCCAAGCAGTTTTAATGCATGTAGAGATGATCACTTAACTACTTTTATTTTAAAGGTGAGATATAAATTCAGAAACCAATAAACTAAACTTTGGCAGTTAAAATGCAGATTTTGGTTCAGTAGGACCAGAATAGGGCCCCAGAGTACATTTCTAACAGGCATTCAGATGACACCAGTGTTTTTGGAGCAGATTTTGAGTAGCAAGGGTTAACAGGTGTCACTATGAGAAAAAAAGAACTTTTCAATATCTTGTTGGTCTGAGATTCCAATATTACATTACATTTTTCACTGGTGGGGTCATGCGAATTAGCCCATGAATTGTCATGTGAAACTTCTTGTTCCTGCCAAGTGAGTCATTTGAATTGAACATGTTCATTTACTTAAGAGGGCTTTTGCAAGCTTCTCTCTAAAACAAAGTGCCAGTATACTGTACCAGCATGATTTATAGAGGGAAAAACACTTTTTATGAAGTGTTATCAGAGGTAATGCCAAAATCAAAGTCAGTTTTGAGAAAATTTATTTTACCCTAAATAGCAGCAATAGATTCCATAGGAAATTTGATATTGCCTGTGTAAGGAGTGATAGACATTTTTTTACCCTGAATAAGAAAACTTTTATAAAAAATTGTTTTTCCTAGAGTGAAAGATAAATTTTTATATAAACACCAACTAAAAATATAGTTGAGTTGGCCAATTAAAGTATCTGTTGAGGCTGGGTGCGGTGGCTCATGCTGCAATCCCAGCACTTTGGGAGGCCAAGCCGGGCAGATCACGAGGTCAGGAGATCGAGACCATCCTGGCTAACACGGTGAAACCCCGTCTCTACTAAAAATACAAAAAAATTAGCCGGGCGAGGTGGCGGGTGCCTGTAGTCCCAGCTACTCGGGAGGTGAGGCAGTAGAGTGGTGTGAACCCGGGAGGCGGAGCTTGCAGTGAGCCGAGATCGTGCCACTGCACTCCAACCTGGGCGACAGAGCAAGACTCTGTCTCAAAAAAAAAAAAAAAATCTGTTGATATTAGAATTTCACTTTATAAAAATGTATTGCTTCATACTTTGAAAATGTATAACTGTGATCCTAGACTAGATCGTGTAATAAAAGGAAAAATGTTATTAAAAAACATTGTTGGGCCGGGCATGGTGGCTCACGCCTATAATCCCAGCACTTTGGGAGGCCCAGGTGGGCGGATCACCTGAGGTTGGGAGTTCGAGACCAGCCTGACCAACATGGAGAAACCCTGTCTCTACTAAAAATACAAAAAAATTAGCTGGATGTGGTGGCGCGTGCCTGTAATCCCAGCTACTTGAGAGGCTGAGGCAGGAGAATTGCTTGAACCTGGGAGGCAGAAGTTGCGGTGAGCCGAGATCGTGCCATTACACTCCAGCCTGGGCAACAAGAGCCAGACTCTGTCAAAAACAAAAAAAACAAAAACGAACAAAAAAAACACCCGAAAACAACAAAAAAGAAACGTTGTTGGGGCAAGTGACAAAACTGAAATACAGCCAGTGGATTAGATAAAGATACTGTTTTGATGTTAAATTTATCAAAGTTAATTACTGTGATTATGTAAGAGAATATCCTTAATCTTAGGAAATTTAAGAGTAAAAGCCCTCCAAGCCTGGTGGCTCACGCCAAAAATCCAGCACTTTGGGAGGCCGAGATGGGCGGATTGCTTGAGCCCAGAAGTTGGAGACCAGCCTGTGCAACATGGTGAAACCTCGTCTCTATTAAAAAATACAAAAGCCAAGCACAGCGGCCCATGCCTGTAATCCCAGCACTTTGGGCAGGTAGATTGCTTGAGGTCAGGAGTTGGACACCAGCCTGGCCAACACGATGAAACCCCATCTCTACTAAAAATTCAAAGATTAGGTGGGTGTGGTGACATGCGCCTGTGGTCCCAGCTACTCAGGAGGCTGAGGCAGGCGAATCCCTTGAACCTAGGAGGTGGAGGTTGCAGTAAGCCGAGATTGTGCCACTGCACTCTAGCCTGGGTGACAGTGAGACCTTGTTGCCAAAAAAGAGTAAAGGCCATGATTTATGCAACTTACTGTCAAATAGTTTAGTCTCTCCTCCCAGATAGATGTATATACATATATATATGGGAAAAAAAGTAATAAATGAGGCAAAATGTTAAATAATATTTAAATAGATAAATCTGGATAAAGGGTATATGGGTTTTCTTTGCACTATCTTTACAACTTTTCTGTAAATTTGAAATTCCAAAGTATTTGTGTGTCTAAACAAAAAAGGTACAGTTAAAAAAAAAAAGAAGGAAATTCCGAATGAAAATCACTTTGAGGGAAAATTGCATGAGATAGATTTAATATTTATTAATACAAATTTTTTCCTTAGTGCTAAAATTATTTAAAATTTGACAAAGCAAATTATTGTAAACAGGCTCAGTGTATAATCTAGGGAAGTGCATTTTCAAACATATTCGAGTATTCTATACATATTTTATATTATGTGTAAATGTTTTAAATTTAAAATATATATATAAAAATTTAAAAATATATTTAAATTAAAAAAATCTAAAGCCAATGTGTTTAATGTTTTCTTCTCTCCCCCATAAAACACATAACTGTTTAGATATTTATCAGTTGTTCAGTAGTATCTGAATTATTGGATACTTTAAAATGAATTTTACTTTAAAATTAAATGAAGAGTCATCAGTCATGCCAAATAATTAGTGTCATTTATGATATGATTAATTAATTGGTAGTATTCTCAGAAGGTTTCTACCCAACCCAACATAAATACCTTTTGGGCATTTAGTATTTGCCCATCCTCTAAAATGTAAAGAGAACTGACCCCAGGCCAGAATGAAAGGCTGGTCATTGGCATGCTTATCATCATACCTCCTTTTTCAGTGTTTCGGCTTTTTAAAAACCTTGCTTCAATTTGACTTGGACTCCCCCTTCATATAGACTTTTTTTTTTTTTTAATTATAACATACGTATTGATAAAAGCACATATTGTAAGCTTGACTTCTAACATCTTAAAGCCAAAATTAGTTCTTCTGGAATTATACAGTACATATTCTTGCTTATTATATATTCTGGCTTTTTTGTTCATCATTAGGTTTGTGTGGTTGGTTTATATTGGTTTGTGTAGTTGTAGATTGTTCATTCTCATTGTTGTATAATATTCCATCATGTGAATTTATGTATTTGTTCTTGTGTTATTAGACCTAATTTTGCTTAGGTTCCCAGAACTCTCATGCTCTAAAATTCTTGTACCCTATTTTCTCCTCAAAATCAAAACAGGCAATGGAAGAGAAAATCTGATATTTGTACTGTTGTGCTTGACAATTGATATTATAGTTTAGTGAAAAGACTATAAGATTCAAGTCCTAGCTTTGCAACGTATTTAACTAGATGATCTTAGGCAAGTCACTGTACCTCTCCGAACCTCTGAAAATGGGATAATAATGTAAGCCTTATCTAACATAAAGGGTTCATTAAGGATCAGAATAAGTAATGTATAAGAAAATAGGCTGTATACACACACACACACACACACACACACATATAAGCGCACACACACACATATAAGCACATAAAAATAAAAATAACAGGATTGGTATTGGTAATGTGAATTTGTTCTTATCTCAGCAGGGCATTTGTATTTTTAGCTTTTCATTTCTGATTGTAGAATGAAAAGTTTTAAGAATATGTAAACATTATCACTGTATTTCAAGTAGATATTTTTACATAATTAGCAGTTATAACTGTTGACAATGTTAACTTCAAATATGTACGGCCTGAAGGTAAAATAACTGTGAAGTTAAATAACTATCTCTTTATATGTTTAGGCTCGATTATTTGATGAACCTCAGCTTGCTAGTCTTTGTCTAGATACAATAGACAAAAGCACAATGGATGCAATAAGTGCAGAAGGGTTTACTGATATTGATATAGGTAAGTTCACTATGAAGTAAATTGTTATATTTTAAGTACAGTTAATGCCTTACTTGTCAGCCTTGTTGGAGAAGGAGCTATTTTTAAATTAGTGGCTTTCCCAAATGATTGAAGTCTCTCTGAGAGTGTTGCTTTCTTTTGTTTTAGGGAAAATATTTCTAAAAGTCTTATCTACCTCATTGCCTGTTAAAAGATTTCAAATCAAATATTCACTGAATGCTCACCATATGCATGGCATTATTCTAGGGTCCACAGGAAATATAAAAAAGAGTAAGAGGCGAGTTGTCTTGTTAAGGAAACGTCTAATTGGAGAATCAAGGAACAAATATTTGAAAATTAAGATTTAAAATGCTAATAGAAGAGAGGGCATTAATACCTGGGTGATGAAATGGTCTGTACAGCAAATGCCCATGACACAAGTTTACCTGTGTGACAAACCTGCACATGTACCCCTGAACTTAAAATAAAAATAAAAAAAAAAAAACAAAGAAGAGAGGGCATATGGTAAAACGTGATTTCTGTCTTTTCTAAATTAGATATGTAGAAAATAATTACTATGCAAATTCAGAAAATGGAGTGATTACTTCAGATCACAGTAGTGTTAGGAAAATTTTGACAGAGGAGGTTCTGATATGAGCCTTAAGGAATGGATAGTACAGTAGGTCCTTGAATAATGTCGTTTCATTATAATGTTGATAAGAAAAACGTGGACTCCTGGCGGGAGGCCACTATCTATAGAGTTTACGTCTTCTCCTATATCTTCGTGATTTTCTCCAGGCACTCTAGTTTCCTCTCACATCCCAAAGATGTGCATGTTAGGTTCTTTGGTATGCCTAAATGGCCTCAGTCTGAATGAGAGTGTGTGTGAGTGTGCCCTGTGATGAAATGACGTACTATGTGGGATTGGTTCTTGCCTGTACCAAGCCACTGGCAGATGTGTTAAAGTAAGAAGTTAAAGCTACAGCCACCTGAGACTCTGAACTGGAATAAGTGGATTGGAAAATGATTTATCAAGTAAAAATTTGTAAAGTATATGATAATCATACAAACGTTTGATGATAAATGACATAGTATGAAAGTGCTGGGAAAGCCCACTATGTTACTTGCTTTTGAACTGCATTGTGTGGGAGGTGCTCCTCAAAATTTTCACTTTGTAAACGTTTACTTCTGGATTTAACCCACCACTGCTATAACCACTGTCACTCACCGATTCACCAAAAATTGGTTAAATGATTATCTTTCTTGTCTTTATTAATCTTTCTTAAGTGTATGTATAGCTCACATTTGTTTCACTGTTTAATTTAGAAGTGCTTTGAGTATTTAGAAGCTTGGTGGTATTTTTGTGACCAGAAATATGCCGTAAAAACTTAACTCTTGTTTATATCAGCTATCAGAAAGCAACGGTAAAATTGCTTTCATTAGACATTGTTTCATTTGAAGTCACAGTTTCCAAGAACCCATACGTTGAGGACTTACTGTATTTGGATAATGGAGAGGGGAGGGCATTAGGGGCAAGTGGAACCTCAGGTATAAATGAGGAAGGAGATGCAAGACAGGTTAAACCCAGGTGATAGAGGACCATCTAATGATAGGCTAATGATGTACATTTTGTCTTGTAGGAGAGTAGAGAGATCTAATCCAGGCCCATGGCTTTAAATACTATCTTTATGATGATAACCCAAAATATGTATCTTCAATCCTTGTCTTCTTGGCTACAAACTCATATACCCAACTGTCTACTTGACATCCTCATTTGGAGATTTTACAGGCATTTGAAACAGAACAGCCAAAGGAGAACCATTGATTCCCCTCACTGTCTGTTAGGTCTGTTCTGTTCCTTTCAAACTCTTTTCAGTCTTCCTTAGCAACACCACCATGAACCTGATTGCTTGGGCTAAACACTTCAGTTATTTATTATTACTCCAGTTATTTATTATTATTCTTTATTATTCTTTCTCATACCCCACATGTGGTCTTATCAGCAGATGCTCATGGCTCTACTTTGAATATGTATCCTGAATCTGACCACTTCTTACCATATCCATGGCTACCACGTAGTCTAAGCCACCATTCTCTTTTACCTGGATAATTGCAGTGGTCTCTTGTCATCTGTCCTTTCATCCAGGCTTGCTCCCATACACTCCATTCTCTACATGGCAGCTAGAATGATCTTTATAAGTAAAAAATCAGGCCATATAACTTCCTTGCTTCCAGTGTCTTCCCACTGCCATTTGCATAAAATTTAAATTCCTTATCAAAGCTCACAGGGCCCTGTGAAATCAGACCTTGTATTTGTCAGGGTATATTAGTCTAGGCTGTGGTAAGAAATAGACCCAAAAGTGCATACTGGCTCAAACACAAAAGAAGTTGATTTCACACTCATATAACAGACCAAGGGAGTATTATAGTCAATAGGTAGTTCTCTCTTGTTGTTCTGTCATTCGCTGGAGCCTAGCTATTATCTGTGTTTTGCTGGCAGATGGGAGAAAGTGTGGATAGGGAAAATACCCACATATTAAAAGCCTTGACCCTGATATAGCACCTATATTTTCACTGTTATTTTATTGGTCCCATTCAGTTGCAAGATCTCACCTAACTTTTAGGGAAGCCAGGAGATGCAGACTAGTCACACCTCATGAAGAAGAGAAAACATCTTTGGTAAACAGCTAGAAGTCACTACCTACATCTGACTTTGTCTCCTACCATTCTCCCCCTAATTCAAGTCCCATATATGCTGGCTAGGATTATTTATATTCCATTCTTTTGTATTTGCTATTCCTTCTGATTAGAATCCTTCTCCCCCTGAATCTTTGCATCTCAGATTAAAGGAGACCTGAGACTTCAGACCTACTTAATTAGATACCGTGTTCCCCTAAGCAATCTCTGTTGCATTACTCTTACTCTGATTTAATTTCCTTGTAATACACATTGCTCTCAAAGTCTTATCTAGGTATTTGTCTCTGTGTGTGTATATATATATGTTGATTGTCTACTTTTCTCTCCTAGATTGTAAACTCCTTGAAGGCAGGGACTTTGTCTTGTGTACAAGTGTATCACTAGCACCAAAGACAGAAGAATATAGTACATGTTCAGCTGATATTTGTTGATCAACTGGACTGACTGGCTGTGTCTAGAATAATGCCTTTTCTTCCCATCTTGGCTGGCTCTCACGCAGTCTTAAGATCCTGGCTAAAATAACACTTCCACATGACTTATTTTTTGAGAGCTGATACCCCACCCTCCTCCATGATGCTTGGTATATTCCTCTGTTCTAACATCCTGTTGTTCGTTTGTATATTGCACAGTACCTTGGGAACAAATAATATACTGCTTATAATATACTGAAGGACAGGGACTAAATCAGATTCCTCCCGAGCACCCGCATGTGGTGTCTGTTGAGTTACTGGATATTTGAGAGCCCTAAACACTGCCCAAGTTGTTAACGAAACATTACGTAATCCTAATTTCCTTCCTATTAGGGGCTGTCAAATGCTTCATTTGTTCTTCAGTCTGTTCTCATTTGAAGTTTTACTGCTTGCATCTGGGTAACATACACCTTATAAATAGCTCTTAAATTATGCATGCCGTTGGAGCCTGCTAATCTTGAAGTATGTGCCTTGTACAGGGTAGAAGCCCAATAAATATTTGGTCATTTGATTTGACTCACAGTTGTTTATATGAAAATTCAGTATTGTGTTACATTTATGAAACAATCTGCTGTGTTTTTCTGATCTTTATTAGGTTCTCAGCTTTAACTTCTTACTTTAACACATCTGCCAGTAGAAGACCTATGTGTTTGTCTTTCTACCCCATCGACTAGTTTGTTTCAAATGTACTTGTCAAAAATTGGTAATTAAAAAGCATTTTTTATTAATGTTATTATTATTATTATTATTTTGGTAGAGAGGGGGTTTCACCATGTCGCCCAGGTAGGTTTCGAACTCCTGGGCTCAAGCCATCTGCCCGCCTCAGCCTCCCAAAGTGCTGGGATTACAGGTGTGAACTATTATGTCTAGCCCCAGAAAATGGTAATTCAAGAGAAGACTGGGAACTGAAAGAAAGGGCTGGCCTTAGGAGCTTTTTATAGCTGTCTTATATTCTCAGGATGTTTTTTCTTCTCTGGGATTTGAATATGTATTCTGGAGGAAGAGATACTGTTTCTTACAGCCTTTTGCTAAAGGAAGAAGATAATTTATCATGTTGATAGAACAAAATGAATTTACACCAAGGGTAGTATGATGTGCTTCTTTTTTTAGTAATAAAGGTTATGTGTTTATCTCTGCAGAAGTTGTTAGCATACCAAGTGGAGACATGTAGGTTCAAAGTCTTCTGGTTTTCCATCAAATGGTTAAATATTGTCATCACTGTATATTCTTAATCCGACAAGTATTGTGGCATATTGATTGCTTTTAATTTACTTGTGAAAGGGCTTCCTGGTGCCATAGTTTATAGTCATCCGCTTAGCTACAATAAGAGATACTAAAGTTTGATTTTTAAAAAAAAAATTATGTGTAACCAGTTTATTTTTAACATGTTATTAAAGTCTGGGACTTTGAGACCTTTGCTAGGATATTACTTATGTTTGATATTAAGCAAATATTTGGCTCTTAGCATGTGTAGACCATTGCAGAAAAGTTTTTTTTGTTTGTTTGTTTGTTTTTTTGAGACAGAGTTTTGCTCTTATCACCCAGGCTGGAGTGCAATGGCGTGATCTCAACTCACTGCAGCCTCCGCCTCCTGAGTTCAAGCAATTCTCCTGCCCCAGCATCCCGAGTAGCTGGGATTACACAGGCGCCTGCCACCACGCCCAGCTAATTTTTGTTTTTTTTTGTGGAGATAGGGTTTCATCCTGTTGACCGACCAGGGTGGTCTCGAACTCCTGACCTCAGGTGATCACTCGCCTCAGCCTCCCAAAGTTCTGGGATTATAGGAGTGAGCCACTGTGCCTGCCGCTATTGTAGAAAAGTATTTAAAGAAATGTTTATCTGTTATGTATTTCTGGATAATGTAATCATATTTAATGCTTTAATTGATTTCTGTTGTGTGTAAGTATAGCATACTCATTTTTATTTAAATTTAATATAAAGTATAACTATTAGATATTTCATAGAAGTGCCTATGTTATCTAGGTTCTTTAGAGATTTTTCCTATCCATCTAGAACTGTCCTTTTTTAGGAACTGGAGTATTTATTACTATTTTTTTATTAGCTCAAACACATTTATTTATTAACCAAAGGGATGATCCTAATTAATCCAACACACTTCGAAATAGCTGCATGTAAAATGTTTGTGATAAAGATAATTAGACACAGTAATGAAAAAAAAAACAGTATGGAGATTTGCTCATTGAACTGAGCTTGGTCATTCTCTTAGTTAATTCCTGTCCAAAGTGATGATGGAATTTTTATTCTACTTTTTCATAGATCCTAGTACAGGTGACATTGTTCATGACACAGTCCACCACTAATTTCCCATCTTTCAATTTTCCTGTTATTGTGCTTTCCTTCCCATCATACTCCTGATGCAGAACCAATGCACCATCTGTAAAGTTGCAGACAGTCTGAGTTTTTCTGCCATCAGCTGTGGTTTCTTCAAACTTCCTTCCCAGGGTACAAGAAAACTGTGTTGTTTTCAGAGTGCTGTCAGTTTTTATGGTGAGGTTTTTGCCATAACAAGTGATGATACAATTTGGCTTGGCCATTGCGCCCATTTTGTGCAAAGCAATTCCCACTCCTAACTCGTTCATGTATGCATCAAAGCCTTTGCTGTCCACCAGGCACCATCTTCCTTCCAGCTGCTGAACTGTGGCCGTGGTGGGCGTGGGTGGGCACAGGCAGGCAAGCAGGCGGGCGTGCAGAGTGGGGTTGAAGTCGGCGTGGACAGCGTGCTGTCGAACTGGGGTATTTATTTTGACCCTTTGAGAAATCTAAGACATATTTTATGTTAAACAATATATACCGAATATAATTTAGGATTCTCGCAATTATTAATACTAAGTATCAGTTGCATTAGTATTGTACAGTAAAACCCTCAGGTCTGTGAAGTGTTGTTTTTTTAAAAAAGCTCTATAAGACCCTTGATTGCTATTCTTTTCAAGTGCTTAACGTCTTCTTTTCACAAATTTCCTCTTTTCTCTATCCCTGTTGGATTGCAGTTTATCATTTCATTCTAGCATATTAGCCCCTAAAGCCCCTTTCTCTTCTGAACTTCTTGCTTCTGGGCTGCTAGAACTTAAAAGTAACTAAGCTTATTTTAATTTTGCCTATCATAAGAGGAAAAGTGTTCTGAGTGAGGACCTGAGGTACAGACATGACGTTTATACTTGGATGTCAAATAGGAATTTCAAACTTAGTATGTCTAAAATGAAACTTCAGCTCTTTCCCCACCCCAAACCTGCGCCTTCTGTGATCTTTCCCATCTTAGTTGATGCCACCCTCATCCCTCCAGTGCATAAGCTATATAAACTACCCTCATCCCTCCAGTGCATAAGCTATATATAACTACTCTTGACTCCTCTCTTTAAGTCACACCTCACATCCAATCTGTTAGGAAATCTAATTGAATCTTCCTTCAGAATATATTCCAAATATGATCAGTTTCACCACTTCTACTCCTACCCCCCCTTGTCCAGGTCACCATCCCTGACTTGGATCGATGCAAGAGCCTCCAACTGGTATTGTCTCCACTATAGCCTCTTCTCAACACAGAAGCCAGGGTGATCTTTTCAGAACATAAAATGTGACAACTCAGAACCCTCCAGGCATTCTCCATGTCACTCAGAGTAAAAGCCAAATGATCTACAGGGTGCTACATGATTGCCCCTGCTCCCCACAGCCTCTGGCCTCCTTGCCTGCTATTCTTCCATCCTGCTCGCTCCACTCCACTACGTTGGCCTCCTAACCATTCCTCAGATATGCCAGGCACACTTTCATATGAGAGCCTCTGTACTTTTAGTCCTGGAATACTCTTCCTCTAGGTATCTATTTGGCTTACTCCCTCACTTCCTTCAAGTCTTGGCATAAATGAAGCCTGCCTAAACCACCCGATTTTATTTTATTTTTTGGCACAGTCTCACTTTGTTGCTTGGGCTGAAGTACAGTGGCATGATCATGACTCACTATAGTCTCAACCTCCCGGGCTCAAGTGACCCTGCTGCCTCAGCTTCCTGAGTAGCTGAGACTACAGTTGCATGCCACCATGCCTGGCTAATTTTTAAAAACTTTTTTGTAGAGATGAGGTCTCACTATATTACCCAGGCTGGCCTGAAACTCCTGGGCTCAAGCCATGCTCCTATCTCAGCCTCCCAAAGTGCTGGGACTGCAGGCATAAGTCGCCATGCCTGGTCCCTTCCTATTTTAAACTGCATTTCTGATTCTCCTTAACCTGATGTATTTATCCACGTATATCATCTAAGATACTCTAATTTACTTGTGTTTATTTAATGTGTTTCTCCTCATTAGAATGTAAGCTCCGTGAGGGCAGGAATTTTTAACTTTTTGTTCAGTGACATATCAGTGCCAGCTGGGCGCAGTGGCTCACGCCTGTAATCCCAGCACTTTGGAAGGCCGAGGTGGGCAGATCGCTTCAGGTTGGAAGTTCGAGACCAGGCTGGCCAACATGGTGAAACCCTGTCTCTGCTAAAAATACAAAAATTAGCCAGCTGTGGTGGCCCATGCCAGTAATCCAAGCTACTCAGGAGGCTGAGGCAGGAGAATTGCTTGAACCTAAGAGGCAGAGGTTGCATTGAGCCGAGACTGTGCCTCTGCACTCCAGCCTGAGCTACAGAATGAGACTCTATATCCCTTCCCCCCGCAAAAAAAAAAGATATATCAGTGCCTAATAGTACCTGGCACATAGTGAGTGCTTAATAATAAGTATTAATGAATGAATGAGTTATAATCTGTAGACTTTAAGAATTTATGTAATTAACTTGGAACCTTTTTCTGTGGCTTGTTAATCTTACTCTGGATAGTTGAGTTTACTTGATAAATGGCATAAATATATAAGGAGAGTACTATATCTAATATTGCATGTATGGTAAGTAATAAATTGATTGTTAAACTGATTTTTGTGGAACACTTCTGAGTTTAAGCCCATTAATTATTTGTATTTTAAAGTTTAAAGTCTGTAGTTTTAAGTGTCTAACCTATTTTTTGTTGAGATCTGAAAACTTAATATAACCATGTCTGTTGGTATTGGTTAGAGAGCTAAAGTATTTCTAATTGGGTTTATTTTGTATTTTGCCTGCAGATACACTCTGTGCAGTTCTAGAGAGAGACACACTCAGTATTCGAGAAAGTCGACTTTTTGGAGCTGTTGTACGCTGGGCAGAAGCAGAATGTCAGAGACAACAATTACCTGTGACTTTTGGGAATAAACAAAAAGTTCTAGGAAAAGCACTTTCCTTAATCCGGTTCCCACTGATGACAATTGAGGAATTTGCAGCAGGTAAGGGTATAAATTCACCAAAATCTATTTGAAACTGTTTTAATAGTCTGTCAGGGCTGGGCATGGTGGCTCACGCCTGTAATCCCAGCACTTTGGGAGGCCGAGGCAGGTGGATCACTTGAGGTCAGGAATTCGACACCAGCCTGGGCAATATGGTAAAACCCCGTCTCTACTAAAAATACAAAAAAATTAGGCATGGTGGCAGGCGCCTGTAATCCCAGCTACTTGGGAGGCTGAGGCAGGAGAATCGCTTGAACCCGGGAGACGAAGGTTGCAGTGAGCCAAGATCATGCCATTGCATTCCAGCCTGGGCGACAGAATGAGACCCCCCCCAAAAAAAAAAAAAAAAAAAGGTTTATCAGTCTCCCTGTGCCAGAGAGGAAAAGAAGCTGTTATTTATTCAGTACTGATCACATGACAAACATATATGCAAGTGTATGATTTCATTTAAGCCTTTCAAAATTATATTATCCATATTGTGTAGGTTAGAGAAGTGAAGTTGGGAGAGGTTGAGTGCCTTGCCCCAGATTGTGACAGATCTTTATGACTTTTTTTTTTTTTTTTGGAGACAGTCTCCTTCTGTTGCCCAGGCTGGAGTGCCATGGCACAGACACATTTCACTAAAGCCTCCACCTCCCAGGTTCAATCAATCCTCCCACCTCAGCCTCCCAAATATCAGGGACTATAGCAGGGACTATAGGTGTACACTACATGCTCAGTTAATTTTTTAATTTTTTTTGTAGAGACAGGATCTCACCATCCTGTCTGGGCTGGTCTTGAACTCCTGGGCTCAAGCCTTCCAAAGTGCTGGGATTACAGATGTGAGCCACCACACCCAGCCCCTGTTTGACTCTTAAGGTTGATGCTTCTGGTTAAAATCAGATCTGTTTTGAGTCTCCATGACCACTTATGACCACTTATGACCATATCATAATTGACTATTATCTGCCTTTAAATCATGGCCAGGTTGATTCAAAAGAAAGAAAAGTCTCGTGATTTATTTTTTATTTTTTATTTTTTTTGAGACAGTCTCCCTCTGTTGCTCAGGCTGGAGTGCAGTGGTGCGATTTCAGCTCACTGCAACGTCCACTTCCCAGGTTCAAAACGATTGTCCCACCTCAGCCTCCTGAGTAGCTGGGATTACAGGTGTGCACCACCACAAGCTGGCTAATTTGTGTATTTTTAGTAGAGACGGGGTTTCATCATATTTGTCAGGCTGGTCTCGAACTCCTGACCTCAGGTGATCTGCCCACCTCGGGCTCCCAAAGTGCTGGGATTATAGGCATGAGCCACTGCGCCTAGCCCTCAATTTTTAAAAAAATAATTTCAACTTTTATTTTAGATTCAGGGGGTAACATATAGATTTGTTTCATGGGTATATTGTGTGATGCTGAAGTTTGAGGTACAATTGATCGCATCACTTAGGCAGTGAGCATAGTATCCAGTAATTAGTTTTTCAACTCTTTTCCCGCTTCTGTCCCTTCCTCTTTCCCCCTTTTTAACAGTGCTCAGTGGCTATTGTTTCCATCTTTATGTCCATTTGTATGCAATGTTTAGCTTCCACAAGTGAGAACATGTGGTATTTGGTTTTCTGTTTCTGCAGTAACTCACTTAGAGTAATGGCCTCTAGCTGCATCCATGTTGCTGCAAAAGGCATGATTTTGTTCTTGTTTATGGCTGTGTAGTATTCGGTGGTGTGTGTGTGTCCATGGGTGCGTATGTATGTATCACATTCTCTTTACCCAGTCTACCACTGATGGACACCTAGGTTGAGTCAATGTCTTTGCTATTATGAGTAGTGCTGTGATGAACATATGAGTGCATGTGTCTTTTGGTGGAACAATTTATTTTCTTTTGGATATATAACCAGTAATGGGATTGCTCTGTTGACTGGTAGTTCTGTGTGTTTTTCTTTTTTTTTTTTTTTTTTTTTGAGACAGAGCCTCACTCCAGGCTGGAGTGCAGTGGTACAATCTCAGCTCACTGCAACTTCCACCTCCTGGGTTCAAGCAATTCTCCCACCTCAACCTCCCAGGTAACTGGGACTGCAGACGTCCACCACTACGCTCAGCTACTTTTCGTATTTTTTGGTAGAGACGGGGTTTTGCCATGTTGGGCAAGCTGGTCTTGAACTCTTGACCTGAAGTGATCCACCTGCCTTGGCCTCCCAAAGTGCTGGGATTACAGACATGACCCACTGTGCCCGACCTTGATAGTTCTGAGTTCTTTGAGAAATCTCCAGACTGCTTCCCACAATGGCTAAACTTGTCTATATTCCCACCATCAGTGAGTAAAAATTACCTTTTCTCTGTAGCCTCACCAGCAACTGTTTTTATTTATTTATTTTAGTAGGCATTCTGAGGAGTGAGGAGTGTGAGATGGTATCTCATTGTGGTTTTGATTTGCATTTCTCTGATGATTAGTGATGTTGAGCATTTTTTTCATGTTTGTTGGCTGCTTGTATGTCTTCTTTTGAGAAATGTCTTCATATTTTTTGGCCCACTTTTATGAGGTTTTTTTTCCTTATTGAATTGTTAAAATTCCCTATAGCTCCTGGATATTTGACCTTTGTCAAACACATAGTTTGTGAATATTTTCTCCCGTTCTATAGGTTGTCCATTTGTTGGGTTGATAGTTTCTTTTACTGTGCAGAAGCTTTAGAAAGTTTAATTATGTCCTATTCGTCAGTTTTTGTTTTTGTTGCAATTGCTTTTGAGGACTTTGTCATAAATTATCTCCCAAGGTCAGTGTCCAGAGTGGTGTTTCCTAGGTTTTCTTCTAGGATTCTTACAATTTGAAGTCTTACTTTAAATCTTATCTTGAGTTAATTTTTGTGTATAGTGAAAGGTGGGGGTCCAGTTTCATTCTTCAGCATATGGCTAGCCAACTATCCCAGTACCATTTATTGAATAGAGGGATCTTCCCCGTTGCTTATTTTTGTCAACTTTGTCAAAGATCAGATGGCTGTAGGTCTGCAGCTTTATTTCTGGGTTCTCTTTTCTGTTCCATTGGTGCATGTGTCTGTTTTTGTACCAATACCATGCTATTTTGGTTACTGTAGCCTTATAGTATAGTTTGAAATCCAGTGGTAATGTGATGCCTCCAGTTTTGTTCTTTCTGCTTAGGATTGCTTTGGCTATTCAGGCTTTTGTTGTTGTTGTTGTTCCAGGTGAATTTTAGAATATTTTTCTAGTTCTGTGAAAAATGATGTTGGTAGTTTGATAGAAATAGCATTAAATCTGTAGATTGCTTTGGGCAATACGGTCATTTGAATGATATTGAGTCTTCCAATCCATGAGCATAGAACATTTTTCCATTTGTTTGTGTCGTCTGTGATTTCCTCCAGCAGTGTTTTATAGTTCTCCTTGTAGAGATCTTTTACTTAGTAAAAATACATCTAACCAGGATGTATGGATGTAAAAATACCTGATAGAAATACATCTTAGAAATACATCTAACTAAGATGTATTTCTTTTTTGTGTGGACATGGTAAATGGGATTGCATTCATAATTTGGCTCTCAGTTTGAACGTTATTGGTATATAGAAATGATGCTGACTTTTGTACATTAATTTTATATTCTGAGGCTTTACTGAAGTTCTTTATCAGTTCCAGGAGCCTTTGGTGGAACTTTTTTTTTTTTTTGAAATGGAGTTTTGCTGTTTGTTACCTAGGCTGGGGTGCAGTGGCACGATCTCAGCTCACTGCAACCTCTGCCTTCCAAGTTCCAGAGATTCTTCTGCCTCAGCCTCCAGCTGGGGTTACAGGTGCTTGCCACCACCCCCAGCTACTTTTTGTATTTTTAGTAGAGACGGGTTTTCACCATGTTGGCCAGGCTGGTCTCAAACTCCTGACCTCAGGTGATCCACTTTGCCTCAGCCTCCCAAAGCACTGGGATTACAGGCATGAACCACCACACCCAGCCTGATGGAATCTTTAGAGTTTTCTAGGTATAGAAGCATATCATCTGTGAAGAGAGATAGTTTTGACTTCTTTTCTTATTTGGGTGCATTTTATTTCTTTTTCTTTCCTGATTGCTCTGGCTGGGACTACCAGTACTATGTTGAATAGGAGTGGTGAGAGTGAGCATCCTTGTCTTTTTCTAATTCTCAAGGGGAATGCCTCTAGCTTTTGCCCATTCAGCATGATGTTGGTTGTGGATTTGTCATAGATGGTTCTTGTTATTTTGGGGATATTCATTTGATGCCTAGTTTGTTGAGGGGTTTTATCATGAAGAGATGCTGGATTTTATAGAAAGCTTTTTCCATGTCTATTGAGACAACATACGGTTTTTATTTTTAACACTATTTCATGATTGTTGTGAATTGTATTACTTTTTATTTTTCGATTTTATTTTAGTTTTAGAGTGAAGTCTTCCTATGTTGCTCAGGCTGGCCATGAGCTTCTGGGCTTAAGTAATTCTTCCAGCTTAGCCTCTTAGCCAGTGTGCCTGGCTGAATTATATTTTATTATGCTTATTGGCCTTTTTATTTTCCTTTACATTATTCATGTCTTTTGTTTTTCTGTTGGTGTGTTCAAATTTTTTTTACCGGTTTATCTTACATTGATTCTTTGTATATTATATATTCCAGTTTTTCTTTCTGACTTATACTTGTTCCAATTTTCTCCAAGATTGTTTTTGTTTTTGCTGATAAGAATCAGTGTTTGGGTTTTTGTTAAACAAACTTTTGAAATTAAAGTTTAACATCCGTATAGTAAAGTGAACAAATAAAGTGAACATACTCATTTAACTAATTTATCCTACCGTACTAGTACCCCAGAAGCCTTTGTCATGACCCTTTAAGTCACTAATCTCCCTCTGAAAGGTGACTACTTTCTGTCTTCTATAAATTAGTTGTGTCCATATTTAAACTTTATATAAAGGAAATAATATATACGGTGTGTATTCTTTTATGTGTGGCTTCTTTCTCTTAACATTATGCCTGTTAGATACATCCATGTGGTTGAGTGTGGCAGTAGCTCATTCTTTTTCATTGCTTT